TTGAGCTCTGCGTGGATCAGAGAATACAGCTCAGCTGTCCCACTATGAAGTCTGCGTCCTGATATCAGTGCACTCCCCAAAACACACATCTGTACCAATCAGTGGTGCCAATTACTAACTGTGGTGCTTATAATTAAGTGATTAAAAGCAGTTGCAAATGTTTTATAATATACTCATCTCTGCACCAAAAAAAAAGCGCAACACTTTGTTTTACTACCAAATTAAATGTAATGTTTAACTATAATCAATATTTAGCTTACACTGGAAAACAAAATGTCTTGATTTATTTCCAGAACATGATGCGTGATGAGATGCGCTTAGCCTGGCATGCCGCTCTGGAGTGTGGATCTAGTGTGTGTTAAGGGCACTGGGGATGGTCTTGCACACTTCTATCCTGTTGCGTGCACATGCTCTCAAGTGGCCAAGAGCACAAGTGTGGGTATTTGGACAGACCCTGTGTTGATCACTGCAGCCCAGGGAACACCAAAGGGAAGGAGCTTACACCATGAGTAGGCGGAGCCTCAGGTCAGTGGGGTTAGAGCTAAAGCCCCGCCCATCTCAGAGCCATCAGTGGGCTCATCCCATAGGCCCTGCCCCAAATCTCACCCTAAACCCTCGCGCTCTTCCACACTGTCGTGACTGTCAGGCCGAAGCCTAGCGTGGAGCTCGTCTCAGCGCACATTAGTGGCCACTCGTCAGCACCCTGCTGAAAGCTAAAACGGGTGACAACTTTCACGTTCAGCTTTAATCTTGATCTCGATTCAATGTCAATACATATGTATATACTGTATAAGGGGATACTAATCTTCTGTTGAGTGCATTTGAAAGCACCATTTTAAACTTTTCTTGGGTTAAATTCAGTATTTTTTTGTTTTCATTAATATTCACTTGTGTGTACTTATACGAGTATCATTAAAACACTATGTAATTTATGAACTTTTTAAATTTCACATTTAAAAAACCTATAGTGTTTAATCATGTCTAAATATTTATTCAAATGCAAAAGTTAAAAATAAGCAAGCAGGTATGCCTTCAATACTCTTGAGAAACTAGACTAGTAGACACAAGTTTATTTATTAAAGAGCATACAGGTACCTAGTGGCTAAACCATGGCATTACAAACAAAAATGATCAAAATGACTCTAATTTGCCTCTTTGCATTGGAATTTAAAACCAATTTCTCTATTTTAACCTTAAATAGACCTACTACACTAATTGTAATATAAGTAATAGAAATATTAGGAAAAAATATTTGAAGTGGTCATTAATGGACCATAATTATTGCACAAATAGTATTTAGTACCAAACGATCTCCTCAAAATATGAAATAAATATTACTGAACTAAAGTATAAAACATTTATCTAACTGAAAAAATAGTTAAGGTCTATGGTCACACTGTAAGGAATATCTGAGGGTTAAATACAAGAAAAACATTAATGTTGCCTCTCCAGAATAAACTGATACTGTAAATGTCATCGACCTAATAATCAATGCATAATATGCTGTAATTTTTTCCACAGGTAGCTGCACATACCTGCAGAGAGAAGCTGTGGTCTATCCTGTTAAACCCGTTCAGATGCACTGACAGCAGCTGCTTTGTTTAGAGCTACTGAGAGCTACTGAACCACGTGACCAGATCAAAGCAGCAATGTAGCAACTCTGATGTTCAATGCTCTGGCTTTAACTGAGGCGCTACAACGAATCACATCATATTAAGTGCGCCAAAACGGTATTTATTGTTTGAATGTTGTATTCAAACTTACAAAATTTGAAAGCTGAGACTTTGTTTCATATCACAAGCAGGGTTGCCACTTTGGCTTTACAAGTGCAGCGTGAGAGCGAGACAGAGCCTGGAAGCTGTATCTCACGCCAAATGCGTGAGAGTTGGCAACCCTGGCTAAATGACACATGTGACACCCTACAGCCATTGTACGACCACACGACCCCAAGTGCTCATGAAGTGTGTTTAGGGCAGGGCCACAGACTGTTTGAAAAGATGGACAACACGTCTCTGTTTCCTTCCACTGTAGAAAATCAAGCCGAAATGTTCCAGAAACTCGCTTGAACATGTACGCATGATTAGAACTGTGTAAAACGACATTTTACACAGTTAAAATGCTTTTTTAAAAATAAAAATAAAAACTGGGAAAGTGTGACTGTCTTTGGTCTGATTAGAAGGGTTATAGGGTTTCCTTTAGCCTCTGCTCTGTCTGATGTGAGGTTTAGCTGAGCTCAGCTCATTTAGTAGCTGGGTTTCCATCCAAAGCTGTGATTTTAACTTGTGCGCAAAACTGGAATATCGCATAAAACATTTGCGAACAAACATCGTTTCCATCCAACAAGTCAAAGAGAACAAAACGTCTCAGGTTACTAGTTACTTATGTAACCATGGTTCCCTGAATAGGGAACGAGACACTGCGTCCTCTAGGGGTCGCCATTGGGAACGCCTCGTCGTGACCCATGTCTGAAGCATACATTGAAAAAACACCAACAACAATTTTCATGGTGAGTTGCCCCTGGGACGTCAGACGGCTGTCTGTGACTTTATCCCCTAAGGCCAAAGGCCTAGGCTACATACCCAACTTACCTGATAGGGCCAAACTCCTGGGCCCGGGGTAGAGCTCAAGGCTTGGAATCATAATGGATTCCTTGAAAAGAGAGACAAACGAGAGCGGAGCTTTTCATTAAAATACGCTCGCAATGAACGCGGATTGCCCCCTCAAGGACATCGCGTGCGTGCTCTTTGCCCAAACAAAGCAGAGATTGTGTGTGTCATCAGGTGTCAAATAACAACTACGCGGATGCACACACCCTCTAAACGCTTTGCTAGTGCTCGCCATAACGATAGGAATATAGACCGCTCTTACCACGGACGCAGTTCGAAGTTCCCTTGAAAGGGAATCGTCACTTCCTGATAAACTGGCACTATAAATCACTAAGAAAAGTAGGAGAATATAATAATTTTCATATATAATAGTTGACTTGCGGCTCAGAGCGAGCAGACGAAACACAATGAATGCGGCCACTGCTTTCGGAGGTGGATGCTGCTGTTTGGGAACGCAGTCGTGTAACAGTTCAGGGAGCCAATTATACAGAAATACTTTGATGACAGACTTTGCTCGTGCATTTCTGAATGACCAAAACAACATTTCAGATGCTGTGAATGAGATCGGTCCGCTGGTTAGTCAGGTTATGACGTCCCATAGCGCAGTCACAGGACTTTTTGAGTCGCTTGGAGGAATTTATTCGCAAAATGCTTTTCCATCTCCTATTATTCGCATTAACCCTTTTTCACACAAGTCAAAAACCACCTCAAGCAAGTGTAAAAACTTTTTTGCGAATTAAGGGATTTTTATTCGAAATTTGGCGTTTCCATCCCTCCCAGCAAACAATAGCCGTCATTTCACCGTCTCGGTTAACTATAGGCCCGAATCCCGATATAGTCCGGCTATGTGTAACCCACTTCTAGCCCAAATAACCTTGAATTTGTAGTTGATAGTGACC